CAAAGATGTGAAACAGTACAGGTCCACACTGGGATTGTTATATTACATTTTCAAAAATATGGTTTACCTGAATTTACTTGCTTATAACAATCAAATGAAAAAGTGCTTTTCCCTCCTGTGTTTCTAATATCGCCACTATCCTACAGCCTCATTTGTAAGGTATCATCATAGTCTTTGTTCTGCAACAGGAAAGGACTAATAATGAAAAGATAAAGTTATGTGAAGGATTAACGTCAGTATGGAGGGGATATGTGCATTTTCTTCTGCACTAGTGCATATCAATAGATGAGTTTCGTATTTTAGATCAAACTTGGAATGGAAACTGACAGTGCTAGAGTCTTAGGTGTTTTGAAACATAACATGTGGCAGAAATCTTTAATACTGAGCATGTTTAATGTTAACCAAGTAGTGGAAGTTCTTAATCTTCTTTAGGGATAACTTCAGTTATGTGTGGTTTACTGTGTGAGGTGACGTTCAAACAAGAAAGAAGATTTTTAATCTATTGATCTTTTGGGAGGGCTATATTTAAATAATCTTTTAGTTCTTCATTGATTTGTTGAACTGGAGTGGGAGGAAACAGTTTGCTAATACTTAATACCTGTCCAGTTTAATCAAACTGAAGTGTTACCTTTCCTTAAAACAATGTTTTAATACACTTGCTACTTCCTTGGCAGCTTCCATAATGATTTACTGCATATGTTGTGAGAATCAGCGACTAGATTGCTTGATGCTAATTCACTGGAAAAACTAGATGCTGCAGCAAATGCTTTTGGTGACTCAACTTACTGTTTCCTGTGAAATAATATTGTATTGATACCCAAACTCTGAGCTAAGAAGCACAGTAGAAGGCCATATCCATATCCTGAAATAGCTGCCCTGTGACAAACAGTTTTAAGTGATTGTGTATTTTTGCCCTTCATAGTAACTTGTATCCATAATCTTGTATTAAAAATTGCATTTCAATACTGTATGCAAATCTTTGTTACATGAAATTATATAGTCAAGGCACTGATCAAGTGAGAACCCAGAAATATTTAAGTGATTTGCCAAATGCAGATACTATAAATATCCAGCATTTCTAAATTGGGTCATGTCATGGTTTCTTTACACTCCATTAAAAAGGTCAAGTATAACCAAGGAAATCTAAGAAAAGTGCTTATTTTCAAACTTCCTTCCAAAGTAATTAGCACTAATTACTAAATGAAGAAGAGCAGACATAAGTAGATGAGAGAGAGTCACCTATTTTAAAAAAACATAAATGTGGTATGTAGGAATTAAATCTGTTTCTACAGGGAATATTGGGGCATGTTTTCTTTCTTTCTGGATCTTTCCATGAGTGCAGTGAAGCTATTGGTCTATAAGGAGTTTGGTGAGGCTCCCTCAACTGTTACAGTTCACATTTTTGTTTGGATCCCAACAGGGAAATGAGGGTGATTGAAATCTAATCTCTAAATATTGCTTCCTCCCAGTCTGGTGGTGAAATGGCAGCTGATTCAAAATACAGCTGTGCTGGGTAACATGTGGTATGGGTAGCAGTGATTCTGTCTACTCTTCTGCTTGCCATGTGTCCTCCTTAGTCACAACTCATCATTTTTTCTGTTTTTGAGAAATTGTAAAGTAATAACAATTATTTTTAAACATAAGCAACAGAATATTTTGCATATGAAAAAATCTTCAGCTGATAGGGACCTTAGGAAAAGGATACAGAACTTCTGGAAAAGCACACACAAAGCTAGCTGAAATACATTTTTCAGTAGTTACAGCTCCATTCCAGGATCTTAATTTTCTTAGTATCCCAGATGATAATATGAAACAATGTTGTCCTTATTAACCTTGTGTTGTATGTAGGTTTGATTTTTTTGATTTGTTTGAACATGTTTAAAACATTTGAATTCCCTTTTAATATTCTTTTTTAGTTTAGTAAGTTTTGCAAGAACATCTTACCTTGTTTTCCAGAGTAATTACTAATTTATTTGGTGTTCATCTTTATTCCTTGGGCAGAAATTCTTTCATGTATTGTGCAAGTCCTTAAGGTTAAGCTTTTGGCAATTAATTTGTTTTACTGGTCATATTTACAATCCTTATACTCAAAATGGTTTCAAATATTTTAAGCTAAAAATAAATATTAAGCAGGAAGTATTTAACAAAGCAAATATTTAGTTTGTTTTGACTTAATTGTCAGAATCCTTGAGTAAGTTGGTTTTGTCTATATAGGTACTAAAGTGTGTCTGCACGACATTAATAGAATGTATTTTCCTTATTTCTAAAGATGTAAATAAATACCAAAAGTTACTGTTATGCCATTCTGTGGGTAGTGATCCAAGGCTAAGATTAATTTAGAGAGAGAGGTTAGCCGAATATCACTCTCAGACTGCAGGAGAGCTAGGAATTCAGTTCTGGTTTCCTGAGGCCCTTTTCCAATACTGTGCCTGTAGACTGCATTCATTTTTCCCTATATTGTTCACTGCTCAAGCTTCTGAAATGATTCTCAGTGCTAATATCTGGCTAATAAATGCTATTCTGCACAGATGAAATGAACTCCTATCATATTTCCCTTTAAGGGAATCAAGCTGTGTCATTTCTTCCAAAGGCTGGTTTTATAGATGTGTTTGGGAAACTACAAGCGACAATATCAGAAATTTGCCTCACTTAAAATAAAGAAAGAAAAGGAGCAACAGAAGGGATGCAGCTGCATGTCTGCAGCTGTACCCTCTTTGGTTCTTGTATTACCACAATTAGAAAATAGACCTGTCTGATGTACTGTGTCTCCAGTAATGAAAATATGCTAAATACTACATTGCACTTGGCATATTGTATTATTCATAATATCGTGCTACATGGCTTTGATCCTACATGTACAATTCTTTCTGTTTATATTAGGTGGGTTGCTTGGATTAAACACAACATTTTCTGTTTTATTACAGAACGGCTGTGAGATTTTTCCAGTGTTTTTATTTTGTCAAGAGAAATGCCTTTATCTTCAGGTGATTTATGCAGTCTGTGTTGATAGAGTTCCCACTAAGGACATGAATAAGCCATAAATGAATGCAGTTATCAAAAATCCCTGGCCTAAAGTCTCATTTTTTTTTTAAGTGGCTGGAAGAAATAATTTGCAGTCACAGCCGTTAGCATGACTTGATGAATCTCTCACTGGAATTTTTTTGTTTTGTTAGTATTGAAACGAAAAGAAGGTAGGCATGTGTGAAAGCTGTTTCTGCCTCTCATCCGTTCTCTACAGTGGTATCTTTTTTTAATATGTAGCACATGTTATCACAGAAACTATCATGCTAAGTGATAGTTGTCAAGCCCAGATTTGTTCTGTCATCCTCCTACCAGGGAGCAGACCTGTGCAATGCAGGATCTATCTTGGGCAGTAGCCTCTGCTGTTGAGCAAGTATGTTGTGACTGTGCCCTGTGTGAAGCTCCCAAACGCTAAGAGCTTCACGTTCGGTCTGTCAAGTTGCCGTAATCCACTTGAAGTCTGAATGAATTAAGGCCATCTCTCCATCTCTTTGGCTGCCAAGTCGTGGCAGTTTCTCTCATCTGGTTATCTTCAAATGCATTTTGTGGCAGGGGGTGGTCTCGGACATCTTTTACTTTTTTCATACCTCCTTGCATCTTGACATCTCTAGAAGAGTTTAATATCAAGATATGGACTGAGTGGGGTTGAGTGGAGGAAAGAAATTTACAGTGGAACAAAAAGCTGTGAAAAGGATTTCCCCTCTCCCCTCTATAGCAGTATCACTCTGTTTTTGTTTTGATTCTGCTTTAGGCAACTGTGCTTGACCCATGAGCTGATCTTATCTGAATAGCTGTCTATCTCGATGGCACTGGGGGAGCTGCATACGAAGCCTCGGTGCGCCATCTGCATTCTGCTAACACTTGTAGCAACGCTGTCTGGCAGCTTCGTTCAGTGTCTGCATATGGATGTCGAGAAGAAAAGGGAGCATCAATCTTTCAGAGTTAAGAAATCTAATGATGGAGATGCAGTTCTTTCAGTCTCTTTATTGCATGCATCAGTACAAAAAATATAAACCATTTTACTCTTACCTTGGACTTTTACATTTTTCATTAGATGAAATACTGGGTTTTCTCATCAGTAGCTTTGAAGGGTGCAGGGGTTATGAGAACTAACATTTTTTTTCTCTGGATAGTGACAGAAGATCATCCACCAGTTTAAATCGTTTCAAGTCCGTATCAGATTGTCAGGTTCAGAATATTTGCTTAAATTAGGTGATTTTTGAGTTATTTCTCTGTAACCTTTCACAGACCTTGACATTTGAAGGATCAGTGATTAGAGATCTGATCAATAAAGGCAAGGGAAACCTTTACCTGTACTCCAGTAGATCTGTGACTTTAGATGACTTCAGAAATAGAAGGTATGGTTATTACGTTTCTCTTGTAGGTTTAATAATGACTATCAAATTTTAATTTCAGGCTTTGCAATCAGTTCTGACTTCTGAGAAATCAGTGTCTGAAATACCTGAAACAATGGATGACTTCTTCTGCAATTTCCTGGTCAGCTTGGGAATGTCCAGAACCCTTGACTGCTTCCAAACTGAATGGTAAAATATTCTAAGTGATCATGTTACTTTAGGAATTAGGAAATTGATGTTCTGACTTCAAATATTTCCAGTAATTCAGGATATATTTCTGGAAAACTTTTCTAAGCACAAGTTATTCTTAAATATGTAGTGTTTTATCAAATAAGTTATTTGTGTTGAGAGTGAGGATGCAAACTAATGGCTGAAGGACAGACTTTAAAGAAGGCTGAGTCCAGGGAACTCCTAAATGGGTACCTTTTGAAGGAGTGTATGAGTTGTTTCACCTGACTCTAGACATTTACAAGCCTGAACTGGTCATGTGAAGCCTTTCTTGTGACAAGTTGAGAGAAATAAGTCACACCCTGAGAATTACACATATCTGAGTGGTTTAAGCCACGCCCTTTAAGATGAAATTAATTCAATTATACTTTTTAAGTATATTCTGCTCTTCACTGACCACTAACAAAAATTAGAAAGCAGTTGCAGTGCAGAAGTCATCATTGGATTAGATGAGTCCAATGCAGATAACCAGCATTTCACTTCACCAGTGCCAAGAAAGCATGTGGTTTTGTTATCTTGCTTTCTAGAATGTGGGTGCCTGCTTAAAAACTGAGCATTTTGTAGCATGCTATAGTATTTGCACCTTAATTGTTTGGGTGGGTTTGGACATTCATCATAGCTACCTTGTATTTTAAGTAGAATGATTAATAGATTTGATACTTGGTAATTTGTGGTACATCAGTCAAAATAATATGGTTGGTTTGTTTTTTCCATTTAAAATTCATATAGTAATCAGAAGAATCATCTCTTGAGCTTGCTTTTATCTTCTTTTTCACAGCTTTTAGAGATTGCAAGGGTTTTGTCTGTACTTTGTGCAGAAGTTTATACATGCAGTTTTGTCTAAATACTCTACTTCCTCCAACACTCTCTTGGTATATGGAATCCCACAGGATGTGTACTTTTCTAATACTGATTAGGAATGAGGTGACAGGAATGCTGCAAAGCTTGAGAGGAGACCTGAAGTATTTTGTTGCAGAAGATGGCCCTTGCCGTGAAGTTCTACTGAAATACTTCCAGTGACAAGCTTGCTTTGAATCTGCCAGTCACATTGGCAAGATTGTGAGAAGTGGCAACACCCTCTTGAAATTATCTTGGAGTCACTTTTTTTAAGCATGAGAGGTCCAGAGATTTCTTTTTTTAATCGGGTCTTTTGAAATAATTTAATTTGAAAATGAGAGAATTTGAAAAGTTAGAAACATCTTTTTTTTTTTTTCCCCCTACAAAAGCCTTGGAGCTTTTAATTGTTCTTAGAAATATTGTCTAATGGGGAATCACTGCTGTCATTTTCAAGGCTCTGTTTTTATTAGACTAGAGCTCATCAGTCAGGCGTTGCTTTTGGTATTAATACGATCTGCTTTTTGATAGCATAACAATGCTTAAATGATTCCTTAGAGAAGCAGCGCTATAGTTCTGTATTCTTTTTCAACAACAGAACTGATATGAATGGCATTAAGTTTGAAGTTTAACAGTTTTTGTGCTAAAAGATAATTAATACTAGACAGATATAAATAGTGACCTTTCTATGAAACTGCGGCTTTCTTTGAAGCCCTTAAAGTTTGAATTTATATCAGCTGCAAAATTCAGATTGCTTTTTAACAGAGGAAGCACAGGTCCTAGCAGGCCTTGTCACGTGAATCCTTAGCTATACATATATATTTTTTTCTCCATAAGTAATATTAATTTCAGTAGCATTACAAATGAGCTCAGTATGTTAGGGTCTAATCTTACTGTATTGAGAGTTTTTCTGCATTAATACCTTATTTTAAAATGTTTCATGTTCGTTTGAAATAGATGATTTACAATATTAATGAAAGTGAGAGCAGATTAGTGTACTCAGGTTCCTCATTATGTATTGGGACGACACTCTTGCTTTCATGCTGTGGTGATTAAGTACTAATGGAATTTAAAATGAGAAATTAATTAACGTAGAGAAAATTTATCAAAAGGCTTGCTTTGAAATAATTGTCTCTCTGAGATCTAAAGGTCACTTAAATTGGACACAATTATGTGTGTTTATTTCAGAGTTTGAAAATACATTGTTAACCTACCCAGCTGTATAAAATGTCATGGTTTGTTTTAAGCCAAACCCACTCTTTTTCTGTGATGTAATGAATAATTTTATCACACTTGCAATTTTTTACTTACATGCTTATTTGCACATACATATCTTTCTTCCAGTTATGCTTTAAAGAACTTAAAATTGGACTTAAATTAGATATTTTAAAAATAATTTACCATTGTTTCCTATCCTCTGTTATACAGAACTTGAGTGCTTTTGTTGCTTATTAAAGATATTAGATTGATGGTTTTGGAGTATAAAATGCAGGGGCTGATGAGCTGTGAATTCGTGCATCTGACAGTCCATAGCTCCTAATCCCAAGGAGCTCGCTGCTGCTTGCAGCGTGTTGCCAGTCTGATGAGCAGATGCTTCAGTTGCTGTTCACAATATGCACTGAGCTATTGCTGTGAGTAGTTAGTACGCTCGTTGGGCTGGTAATCTCTGACTAAGTGTTCCTAGAGACCTGGCAGTGTTTCAGCTTGTGAGTAAAAGGAGAGCTGCAGACTAATTATGGAAACATGATTTGAGAATTCTTTTCTGTTGGATGTGGTTAAAATTATGAGTCAACTGACATGACCATGCAAGGTTAAAAGCCATGCCTGTCTTGTGTATGCCTTGCAAAGACTGCCTGGATGTGTGTCTTCCATGTCACAGCTCCCTGAAGAGAGTGGAAACAATCTGCTTATTTCAGGCAGATCTAAGTTTCCTCTGCTCCGAGTCCTCTTTCTCCTGGAATCATATGGTGACATTCATGTACATTGTGCTGTGAGCTCATAAATCCTGAGAGAAACAAGGGTTAGCAGTTCCAGGATGGCATCACACTAAAACAGATTCAGTTTTAGGATTAGGACTGGCTCCGAACTGAAGTAACCTCAAGTTTAATTTGCAGAAAGCCATGTGGGCATGCCTACTTTCTTGCCTGCTTAACAAGCACAACATGACCATATGCATTTTATACTTAAGCCATAATAGATTGGAGGAGTACACTAGGGCAGGAAGGCGTTTTATTCTTCTGTGCTCGTTTCTTTCTTAACCTCTTGAACAGTTTCAACAGAAGGCTGTCAATTGGAATGATTATTTTCAGTAAGAAGTTCTTGTAAAAGCTAAGACTCGAAACTTTAATCCCTGTAGGTGAGTTATCCTTGGGTAAAAGATTACCCTGAGCTACATACCAGTTAGTTTATTGCAGGGCCTCTCTGCAACCTGATTGCTTTGGAACTCTTAGAAACTTGAATTCAAGGTAATGTATACAGTACTAATGTATTAGTGTTAGTCAGTCTGCACTGGGCTTTGATCATAAAATCTTAGTTGACCATCTGTTCCTTAGATTTTCCAGATTCTTGGTTAATTTTAAACAGGGATTCAAGAATAATTATTCATTTGTTCTGAAAAGCTTAGCAAAATGCTTGTGTGTGCATGGAGCGAATTTAATTTGCATCACAGCTTCCTTCTGTAATGGAAAGAAGTGTGAACAATAGCTATTTGGCAGTCGGCTAGGTATGTAGGAGTTGTAGAAGTTTTACAGGACTACGTTGTTAAAAGATAATGAGACTTCACAATGTAATTTTGTTGTGTGGTTTTCTATTCCATTTCTGCTACCTATGCAAAAGCCTTCACTTTTTAGTAGTGTTATTAGACAAGGGCATAGTGAATTTATTGGTATTAATTGTATTTCATTAAAATTGTCTTGCACGGCTCTTAGCTCTGCTGGAGGCTAAGTTCATCAATTATCCATGTCTGATGTGTCTTCTTGCAGAAATTTGATGGTTTTCATGAGGTGCAGTTAAGGGCATTCAGTGGAGAAATTTTTCTGGCAAATAAAGGCGTGTGTAGAGTTGTGATCGTTTGCAATGTTTTCAACAGGAATTGTATCTGCTCATCAGTCGGTGTTTGGGGGTGGGGGTGAAGTGGGAAGGGACTGAGCTTCTTTCTTAGTATTAAAGCCTGTTGCTATTGTAATTTGCTTAAGAAAATGAAGTGATGATAGAGTGAGTTTTGCTTTGGACATGATCAGTTGAACTTTTCAAAACCCTTTCATTTACTAGTGGTGAATGTGAGTGGCACCTTAATACATAGGGATAGGCATTCCTAGAAGTACACCCAGAATGCAGATAAGTAGCTGACAGTAGGAAATCATTTGGGTGTAAGAGCTTCTAACATTCCTTTTAATGTTTTTTGAGGATGTTAGAGTTGCTTCTCATGTAAAAACTCTCATGTTCAACAACACTTTTTGCTTCTGCAATGTTTTATTGATCTCAATTACTGTGCTTTCTGTCTTCAGGTTTCAAATCTGCTGGTGTCCAAGTGCAGGAGATGGCATTTAGCATAATTTTTATCTGTAAATACTGCTGTTCTTCTCATACTTCCCTATTACTTTGGGGGGGTGTGGGGTGTGTGTGTGTAAGGCACAGATAGAATATATTTTTCACTGGAAAAGACAAATAATGTTCATATTACTCCTTTTAGTGAGTTCCCATCCAGAACATCTTCCAGCTTGAGTCAGGATCAGCAGGGAGGAAGATTGTGGGGCTACAGTGTTTATCTGATGCAATTATTTATAGCTCCATTGAACCTATGCCAAACTGATATCATGGCTGCAATAGTGCACAATGACTTTGTCTTCCGTGGGTCTCTAAAGTTCATGCAAACTGAAGGTCATTTATTTTTGTCCTAGAAGGCAGAAAAGCAAGAAGAAATACATGTTTTGTACATATGTGTACTTAATTCTGGAATCACCTCTCTTGCACAGAAGCATCTTTAATGCTTGTATAGGAAGACTTGATTCTTTGTCTCTTGAAATACTTTGACAAATACTGATAGCTAATAATCATTTCTTAAACAGACATGGTTCTGTAGAAGCATTTATTTTGTGTGGTGACAGTCATGTTCTTCTGATCAAACTTAGCCTTTCTGAATCCTTTCTAATATCGCTGTTCTTCTTTGTGTAGAGGATATTTAGATACTTTCAATTGCTCCCTGTTTAAATGCCTTTAAGCCTAAAATGTATAGTGTCTCTGCCTATGTCTCTTTTCCTGCCGGTTAGAGTATTCTTAGATTTTGCTGATGACCTAGAATCATAGAATGGTGTGGGTTGGAAGGGACCTTAAAGATCATCTAGTTCCAACCCCCCTGCCATGGGCAGGGACACCTTCCACTAGACCAGGTTGCTCCAAGCCTCATCCAGCCTGGCCTTGAACACTTCCAGGGATGGGGCATCCACAGCTTCTCTGGGCAACCTGTTCCAGTGCCTCACCACCCTCTCCGGGAAGAACTTCTTTCTGATATCTAATCTAAACCTCCCTGATTTCAATTTGTACCTGTTACCCCTGGTCCTGTCACTACAGGCTCTTGGGAAAAGTCCTCTCCCAGCACCCTTGTAGGCCCCCTTCAGATACTGGAAAGCTGCAATGAGGTCTCCTTGGAGCCTTCTTTTCTCCAGGCTGAACAAGCCCAATTCTTGCAGACCTACCAAAAGATGAATAATCCTAAAAGATACACTGAGTAGACTTCATTGCCAGTGGCTGTTGAGATTCCTAGGTTGCTGTGCCACATTACATGTTTTTCTACTTTCCCTGCTGCCTCTCAGAATGCAAGTTAGTATGTACAACTATTAAACTAAAGCAGCCTTCAGGCTTTTACGTCATGGAATCATATTTTCTTGGGGCCTGGTAAATTAGCTAAATACTGGTAAATATAATTAAATACATAAGTAAACAGAAGGAATGAAGGAATCTTCCTAGGTGTGAGCTCTGTATTCCATCTTGGAAATAGCTCATAGAAACATTCTGCTGGGTTATCCACAGCTTTGAAAATCGTATTTGAGACCTCAAAAAAAATCTTGCATATATTTTAGCATATAAGAAGTACTGTGAGTATATGTAAGTGTTACTTGAACAGGAATATATTTTTCTGTCTTTAAGCTATTTGGGAGGAGAAAAGGAAAAGAACAGTTGCTTTAAATTGAAGTACGATGTTATACAGGACATGTCTCGCCTATTATGAACAATAATATGTTTCAGAAGGAAAAGCAGTAAAATAAACCAGCGTGGTGTTATAGTACTGTTGCTAGTTGTTAATGATCTTAAAAGGTAAATGCCAGGATAATAAAAATCTTTGACTGTAATTTAGGTAAATGCTAGCATGAGAAGGGAGGCATCAGTGAAGTGAGAAGAAGGAAGCACGGGATGAAGTATCTCTCCGTTTGTTTTCTAGGTATGAACTCATAGAGAGAGGTATAATCACAGCCAAAGATGGTGGATTGGTTCCAACTGTATACACCTGTAACCAGCATCTGGAGGCTGAGAATATGCGTTTGAGGAAGGACTTGGAAAACTACAAACTTGCTGCCAGGTATGTTATTTGGTCTTAATGAAACTTTGATATACAGTAGTAAATGGCCAGATAAAGTAAAGCCAAGTGCTTAATGGAAAGAATAACTTTCTCTTTGTTATGTTGGCTACACATATTTTTGCTTCTGGGTGACATTTATAATTAAAGTTCAGTTTTTCTCTGAGCTTTATTAGAAGCCTAAATCTCAATTTCTTTTATTTGGATTTACTGGGCTATAGAAACTTTCAATATCCAGTAATCGCAACAAATTCCTACAAAGAATCATGAGTATAATACGTAGAACTAGAGAATAAATGGTTATGTGTGTTTTGTGTTAAAATGCGGTACTGTAAACTACAGCTACCACATAATGTCAGTATTGGAAAAGATCACTATACACTTATTCCTCATTTTTTTTAAGTGCAAAAATCCCATCACTCTGACCCTAGTAGTAAATGGTATGTTAGTGTAAATTGTGATCATTGATTATACTTGTGTACCCTGTGGTAGCTGGTTTTACAAGTCAGTTGTACTTCAGTCATCAGAGAGTTAAAATATTTAGCCTGTGTGATGGAGAGATGCAGTAATGAACTGCATGTAACGAAGCCTTCTTTGATGAATGCTATATCTGCACGTGTTTATTAAGAATTTACCCTGATAATGCACTCTTTGATTTTGCCAGTACATAGTTTTTAAATATGGAGCTATTAAAGTCTTAATTTTATCTCCTTGATTTTCCTCAAGATTGTTCAAGCTAATAATTTTCATTTAGCTTTTTTTTTATATGAAAAAAAGCTACTCAGGTTATGGCCAATTAATTTAACATGTAATAAATCATTATCAGAAAATAATTTTATTATAGTTATTATCAGCAGCAATTACTACTCAAGATCTAACAGTCAGGTAAACAGCTCTAATAATTATGTCAGATAGTGTACAGTCTAAATATACTGTTGAACTGGGAGATGGGCCATACAGAAAACATTCCTTTATTTTCATCTGCAGCTTCTTTGGATGACGGATAGTTAGAGGTTGTGTCTCCCACTTGAGTGTGAAGTGTCCCACTTGAGTAAGAAGCAGTAATGCATAGTAAAAGACAGGCAGACAAAATACGGTCCTTCTGAAATCTATTACTGTCAGTAGTAATTTTAACAGGCTTTTCTTTTTTCCACTTTTCTTTCATTTCTTTTGCCCTGTATGAAGCAGAATATGCTATGACAAGGTAATCTGAACAGATTATGACTTGACTTCCCACTGTATTCAGCTTCGGTGGGGCTTCACCTTGAGCACTGTGTGCAGTTCTGGGCCCCACAATCAAAGAAGGATGTGAAGTTCCTTGAACTTGTTGGGAGGAGAGCAACAAAACTGGCAAAATAGCTGGAAGGAGCGTCCTGTGCGGAGCAGCTGAGGACCTGGGGCTTTGTGTCCTTTGGAGGAAATACTCTACTAATGATATGCTCTAACACTTCTTTTACTACAACAGATGTCATGTCCAGTGACAGGACACAAGGGAATGGCTCAAAGCTCCCCCAGGGGAGGTTTAGACCGGACATTAGGAAGCATTTCTTTACTGAGGGGTGGTCAAACACTGGGAACAGGCTTCCTAGAGAGGTGGTCGATACCCCTGGCCTGTCAGTGTTTGAGGCACTTGGACAGTGCCCTTAATAAACCTTGGTTTAACTTCTGGTCAGCCTGAAGTGCTCAGGCAGTTGGACTAGGTGATGGTTGTAGGTCCATGCCATGCCACTGAAGTTTTCCTGGCCTTGTTGCAAACACAAAGGTCAGTTGTTTCACCACAGTCATGAATGAGTTGGGCTTTCCCCATAAGAATGTCTATATAATCAACAGGATGCCATAAAATTTTTCATAGCAGATGCATAGTTAAAAGGCTGGAAGACAATACGATAATGTACAGCAGTGCAATATGCTAGGTTCTTACAGGCTTTCTGTTCACTAAAACTCTCAGGACTCACCTAAGTGAACTGTGCTAAAAAGGCAAATCGATGAACTGAAACCGTCCCCTGCTTTTTTCCTGGTGTTTGAAACCTAAAATAGCAATGTTCTGGTGGTAAACAAATGACTCATAGCGCCTGTTTGATACTCCCAAGGGGACACTGAGGTAGAAGGGAGTTCTACATGACACACTAGATGGGGGTAAATACTCTTTGTTGGTGCTTAGTGTTAAATACTGCATGTGTTCTGCATGTACCTTGTTAAACTATTACAACTAGTCCTCCTTTCCCCACTTGTAGAGCTTTATTTTCAGTCTGTCTGCTGTTATTAGAAAGGATTGTATGCAGATGTCAAAGTTGAATTGTGCTAATGGTCACTACCTCATTTTTCAACCTTTTTCTTTCAAATATCAGAGTTTGGATACTAATTGTTAGAAGTTCAGCACTTCTGTGACATTCATTTCACTTGTTTTGAATAACTTATGAATTAAACCAGTCTTGTTTCTGGACTGGTGGGTGAAATTGAGCATTTCTGCTGTACATACCATGCGTGACACTGTTCCTTTGTGTCTTTTGGATAAACCCTGATCATAATGCTCTATACTAAATCCATTTACTGTGGTGACTGTTAACAGCAGCTTTTCTTGTTCATACATTCAATAACTGGAGTCAGTACCCTAGCCACAATAAAGCAAATATTCCAGCAGGAGCCAAAATTACCTGGAGGACAATTTGAGTTTTCGTGTTTTGAGAGAGAATTCACCAGCTTAGGCTAAAAACGGGAATGCCTAAGAGCACTGCAGAAATGCTGATTTGACTGGTTAGAAACCAAGGATCTGTGAGCAAAGCGAGTCTCCTGTTTTGCTCTCTAGATAAGTCAGAAAGCTTTCATCGTGAAACACAGCGCTGAGAAGTGTATTTGAAGAAAGCTTTTAATTGCGTTTGGTATTTTTGAGCTTGGTAGTCTTGACAGCCATCTTGCAGAGAAGAGAGTTATTTGGGAGTTACGCAGTGTGGGGGCCTAGGATAAATGGCTGTAAACCAATTACCTCCTGCTTTAACGTTGTCACAGAAGAGATTCAGTGTCTGGGCGCTAACTATAATTGCGTTTTGGGTGTTTTAATATAGCATTTACGTGATTGCATGGCAAGCAGGTGGGCAAATAGAGTAGATTGTGATTCTCCTTAAATAATGAAAAGCCACAGTGAAATGTAACCAACAGTCTGCAATCAGCTTCATTCCCTGCATGCAGCGAGTATGTATTTTTAATAGGCTGTCCAATGGCTGAAGGCATCTTGAGATGGAACAAAACCCCTGAACGCATGCGCTAAAAGAAATAACTCTTTTACTCCAAAGCTAGTGGTAGTTATTACCTTTAGGCTTGGATACACTGCTAATCTTTATTTCTAAAAACAGACACTGTGTTGTGATGAAAATCAATACTAATTTTACATTGGTTTGCCATGTGGCAGTAGTTAAAATATAACTTGTGTACTCCTTTTCTTTTTTATCTTGAAGGCTACAGTTGAGCCCTAATTGTTTGGTAAGGGATGTTATTTGCTGCAATATTTCTCAAATGGAAGCATAAATATTCTTTTGAATATGCAAGACAAACTTGAAAAAATCTCTAACTGTTAACTCTTACAGGAGACTAAGTTTAATTCCTTGTTTTCAGTGATGATTTATGTTCTTAAGCATTTAATATTCTAGTAGCATTTGCTTGTGAGCTAAGTAATAGATGGTAATTTCATAGCAATATTAAACTCTGGCTATCTGATGATCTAAAATAGCTTGAAAGCCATAAATTGTGGTGCTTTCCTAATGGCCAGACCCTTTGTATTGCCCTTGTATTTAAGCATGTATGTGAAGGACGTGATGGTGTAGCAGGTTTAAGATTGTGTTAATCCCAGGGACTACTAACTGATGCTTGTAAATTCTTTGAACATGTAGGAATTAATTAGGCAGATGGAATGAAAGTTATGAACAGCTTTTGTTGGAGGTTTGTGACTGTTACAAACATCAGTTAGAAAGTTAAGTAGTTGCAGGTATCTTTCTGTCCTGATTTTTGGAAGTTTGCTCACAAATATACACCCAGTTTACAGCGACAGTAACAGTTAAAGTGTAAAGCAGTCCTGGAAGTCATTTATTGTTACTCTTAGTGCTGTCACCAGCAATAAAGTCCTTAGCTGATCTCCTATTTCTGTGCTACAATCTAACCATTCCTGCACATATTTCTTCTCCTATGCAATATAAAAATAAAGTGTACAGGTTTTCTATTGTGAATTATATTTAAATGCATTTGTTGAATTACATGGTACATCTAGCAGCCTTGGTGCTAAATGCCTTAAACTAAATAGAGTAAAAGCGTGACAGTATATGGCTTTCCAAAACTGTTTTGATTAAAATTTTAGGGCTACAACTTGCATCATGTTGGGGAGTAAAGTCCCACCTAAACTCAATGGGAACAGTGCATGTAACTTATCTTTGAAAATACCTATTTTTTTTTTTGTTGGACCTTGCCCTCTTCTGCGATTTTTACCAAACAACTAGCTTGAGAAAAGTTTAAAATGGAATAGACCTGCAGTCTTTGACATCTGTTAGCTAAAAGAAATGGATATTGGGTTTGCTATGGCTGTGGCAACACCTTACTCTTGGAACAAGCCATCTGCTTAGCTCTGAAGGGGCAGGTTTTATATTCAAGATCTTACAGCAAGTCAGATTGAGTGGTGTCATGATGGAGTTGTTTCACAGACCTGTCCTGAGACTGAATCATTTACGTCTCAAATGTTTTGCTGCTCATAGGAACTTGAGGAGAATCATAATCTGTACTTTTGTATCTAGTACCAATATCTGAAGTTACTCTCTTTCACAACTTCTGGTATTTGTCATTATGCGTACACAAAGCTACATGCATGCCCACAGCTCCTGTGAGCTTATCACAGGGTTACTGCGGGGCGGCCCTGCCTGTTTGCATTTCCCTGCCAGCCTTTTCTCAGCTTTGACTGATACACAGTGGCACTAATTCACTGTCCTCTTCAGGTCTTTCTGTTTCTGCTTACAAACAACAATTCACATGTATTTATATGTGTACATTTATGGTAGTTTGTCTAGGTAACAGACACAGCAAATGCATAGCTAATAAATACAAGTTGTTTGTACAATTAAATAATGCACTGGCAGTTAGGGGCTGTCTTCTCGGACCTGCGCTTTTGCCATGCTCCACTGTCATTACTAACTTTTCAAATCCTGTTGGAGAGAAAATGAGCTCTATTTTTGCAAAAAGCAAATTTATAATTTCTGTGCAAGGCCATTTCACATTTCCTTTGGAAGTAAAAGATTAATCTACTAGTTTTTGCTGCCAAACCCATATCCGTAAAGGCAAGGAGAAAAGGTACAGGTTATATACAAGGTATTTTTTCATGTTTATGGATCAGAGTATCTCAGGGTGTCCCATTGCTGTGTGTAGAATGTGCTTGGAGAATAACAGGTTATCGGTATGTTTGCAATTAATTTTGAAATGGATTCTTTTTGCTTCCTGCTGTCACGTACAGGGGATACTTGGGGACAGGCTGCACTCAAGATTGAATGGAGCCTAGAAATTTTCTAGCATGCTTTTTTCCAGTGGTTCTCTAAATTCATGTATTTGCAAGGCAGTGGTACAGTTATGCTTCTGTGTGTGTCCTTCTAGCTTGTACCATTATGTTGGGTTCCAAACACAATGTAGATCTTAAAAATAAAAAAAAAAATCAGTATTTCAGTATGTTTTCATGCAGAAATTTAAACCTACAAGAGTATTGTTTTCTAAGCACCTATAGCTTGAATATGTACCTCCAAAATACCTCTTGTGCTTAGTGTAAGGTTGACATCAAATCTGAGACTTACAATGCCAGAATCCTTATGGATTCTATCTAAAGGAACTGAGGGAAGGTAAAGAGTACCTACAGTTTTGTCCATTAGCTGGCAGCAAAAAGACCCCAGAAGTGCACAATCTCCACCACAGGGCATACTACCTTTCCAACTTGGACACAGTAGGTGTGTGCCTACTGAAAATTAATTCTGTGTGTATTCAGAATAGCCTGATAACCAACTAGTAGGAAGAGACTGATACTTCCCTTTCTGCATTTACTCTTTACATACAGCAAAGCAAAAGAGGCTTTCCTAAAAATGCAAAAAGAACGTGACTTCCATAGAATGCATCATCATCGGGTGGTCCAGGAGAAAAACAGGCTTATTTGTGACATTAAAAGGTAAAAAAATAATTATTATACATGTAACGTTAAATACAAGGTCTTCAGTTTAAAGTGGTAAAGTAAAACTGGCTGCATTTGGTTAATGTCCTGGTAAATAGCAGTTCCATCTGACCATTCTGCCATGTCTCTTAAACAATTTCTGATGACTTTTTGTATATTTTTTTCTGTGGTGTGATGTGGCATTAATAAATACGTAGTTGTTCCAAGAGTTGAAAATGTGAGACTTTCTTTTACCCATGTCTTTTTCCAGAAATATGTAGTGATTTTGTGCTTAGATCCTTTGTCCATTTTAAAGGGTAACTGGTATCATGCTGTGTACAGAACCTTTTACGTTCATGATTCCCATGGCTGGTATTTTCTGTCCTGTTACATCTTGAACTTCCTATGTGAAATTTGCTATGTTGCGTTGTTTGTAAATAAGCTTAAACCAGTCTGTTGTTACAGAGTTATAATAGCTTATTTTGTACTATTTAATTCCATAAATCTGTCATTCTGGAATGCTGAACCTTTTCTAGTAAGGGTTGTGCCTTACTCCTTCCATGAGTAGAACTTTCATACTGTCTATTCTATGATTCTATCTGAAAAATCACTTGGCCAGGTAAAGAGGTTAAGAATCTCTTCTTTTAAAGTGTTTATGCCAGCACTTGTTTTAAAATAACACTGGGGAGTAGCTTACATTTGCAGCTCCAAACTCATCACAGGATTTGGTTTTATCAATGGTATCAGTAAAATGCAGTAGCAACTGTGTTCTACATCTTTACCCTTGAAATCCATGCATATTAATGCAAAAGAGCACTATTCACTGATTTACCCTGTGTCAGTTGTTTTTTGCAAAATACAGTGTGTTTGAAGCTTAGTGTCCTGCCTTTCTGTTGAGAGATTATATATGGAACTTCTAGTTGTTCTGAAGAATTAGTGGCTGTATTCCATATATAATGTGCAGTGAAGGAAGAAATAGTAATCATGTTATGACTGTTTTGTCTAGGTTAGGACTGTAGTTGGATAATAGCTGTAATTATCTTTCTTCCAATAAAATATCATCCATCTGCAAGAAAAGAGAAATTAACAAATTAATGTGTAATATGAAGGATTAGGAACAGGTCAAAACTGGATAGATTGTTGTAAAAGGTATGAATAAGCAAACTAGGAAACCTCTTATTCATCTGAGTTATTTTTGTTTGCTTCTTGTGGCATTCCAGTTAGGTGGTTACATACTAAATACCTTTACTTATCTGCGTTGACCTTTTGGCACTTTTATTCTTGTGTTTAGGGAGGAAAAAATTACACATACAAAAATCCCTGATTTAACTCATCTTTGACGAATCATTTGTCTGCTTCTTCACAGGCTGAAGGCACATTATGAATCATATGAACCAACACTGAGGCAGTTGAGTGAAAAATACCAGACCACACTGAGACAGAAAATGTTAACCAGTTTGGAAAGGGACAGAGCGGTTGGGCAGGTAAAACTGTGGTGAACACCACTTGCAAAGCTGCGAGGAATGCTTTGGGTTTTAATTTGGTAAATAGGATATTTCTGTTAAAGGAACTCATTTATGTAATAGGTTGAAGCAGAATATTTTAGTGACTTTCTTGTTGTTTGGTGAGATGTTAATACTGAAAGTATGTGAAACTTAGTGCCACAAAGTAGTAGTTCTCAGTCAGTACTTGCTCAGTGGTGCTCTCTGTGAGTCAGCGATGTGCAGACCCTGTTACACTTGGTGTCGACAGCTTGAGGAGAGGTGTGATATTCCCACAGATTCATATGCTTCCATCTAGGCTTTTAGAAATATCTTACTGTCTTTATCACAAATTTTATTTTTCTTAAATATATCCAGGAATGACCTGTGCGTTTAGAAAAATTACATTGAGCTATCAGATTTTTTTTTTTTGTCTTGTGAGTGGAAAAATAGTTGGTTTACTCCTATAATCTTACCTGATATGTAGGTTTGTATACAGGATATTCTGCCCCTTTAGCCGGATGTTCTGTAAGCACAGGTAGAATGGATGAAGAACAGAAAATTACCTTGTGTGTGTTTAACCAATAGGTTCAGGAAAAAAAAGAAAAATCCTTCCAAAATGCTTTGCCTTTCAACAGTAGTGTCAGTTATATGTGGGTAACAAGAAAGAAACTTATCATGCTTGCACTTTCTTCTAATAATTCTCATCTCTCCTTTCTTCCCTTCTCTGCCTCCAATTTTTCTCAGTTCATCTGAGAGCTTAATTTAAAAGACTGAGGATTAAATGTTTGAATTTCAATAAGTAAAAGAACATGTCCTGTAGAAAAAGGTTACCGTCCCTACACAGTCATGCTGGATCAAGAGTACAACACACAGAACAGTTCCAATGCTATGAAATTTCAGGGAGATATGCAAGACTTGCAGTTGTGAACTGTATGCATTCTGAAGTGATGGCTTTTGTGTAATGCATAACACCGTATTTCATGGCATGTTCTTATGGCAAAGTTGTATGTCATATTGTGCCGTTAAGTTGAAGACCAGTGCAGTGATGGCAGCGCTTAAGATGGTGCTGTAAGAGCCGTAGTATTCTATGGCTGCATTGCTTTAACAGAGCTGTAAAAGTATTTTGAGAGATTCTGGATGGCTTGTGTTTTATCACATTGTTTCACTGGGCCTTGCCAAAATCTTGAGTTAGGAGTAAGGTTTAACTTATAGACAATAACCACAAAATTCAAATATTACAGGTGGACTTATTATTTACATATGCCAGCATCAATGCTGTATGTTGTGAACAGACAGTTCAAAAGCAATGTTTTCACATTATCTCTACTTGTTCTCTCCTCTTTTTTTAAAAATTAGGTTATAGGTTTGCAAGCCACATTACAAGATTTAGAGTCTGTATTCGCGATTCAGATTCCTGTGACAAAAGGTAAAATATACCCATTGCCAAGCTCAGATGGGTTATGGGGTTTTGTTGTTGTTGTGATGCATTTCAAAATCTGGTGTAACAGTAAATCAAAACTTCTTGCCCTATAAACATTTTATCAGCTGTCCTTGTGGCAGAGCAACGGTTTTATCATTTGAATACTTATTCTGATATATATCCACTAAAGACAGCGAGACCGCTGATGGAAATATGGAATATGTGAGTAACTATGGAAGGACTTCCCCCTAGACATCTATTTTGTGTCCGATCTTATTAGTTTATCCACTAATACTATTTTTTTTTTACGCAAGTATTTTCAGCTCAGTGTAACAAGTCTTATATGGATGTCTGGAAACACTTTGAAAATACTGATGTTATGAAATCCAGCCTCCAGTTTTATCATGTCTCACTTTTACAGGAGGTTGCTAGAGTTATAAAATAACTGCTGGAATAATATCTTTGTCTGTATGGTACTACACTACTTCCCTGGTGTTTTGAATAAATGCATAACTAAATTACTTTTCTAACTCCACCAAGAAAAAGCCTAGCACTTCTGGTTTCCTAAGTAAATGAAGCCTGTGCTATCGTATTATTTGAGTGTCACTCCCACTATTAATTTTGAACTGATTTTCCAGTATTTCAGTCACATGTGACAGTGAGATGAGTGTCAAATAAACCAGGTTTCCAAAAGATTCCTGGAAATAGATAAGCAGAACTCAAATCAGAAATTGCAGTTTAATTGTCATTTGGGAACCTCAAATTTCTCAGCTGCATAAGTGACCAGGTGTCATATATTCTACAACTTTCAGGGGAAGCATTTATTGCAATTAGGACATTTGTTGCAATTATGTGTTTCTTCAGGTTTTTTTTCCCCGGTGTGTTAAACATGTAAACTTCCTTTTGCACTGGTAATACACCCCAGGTTAAAAGCCACTGAGTTACCCCAGCCTTTGACAATCAAGCTTCATTAGTTCCCACATTCACGGACTTAATTCCACTGTATAAAATTCCTGTAGAAAAGACAAGGTTGAAAAGAAACTTATTCATAAACTTTTTTGGTTTCTCTTTGGATTTATAGCTGACTGAAGAGAATAACAAGCATTTCCTAGACTGTTAAGATAGCTTATATACTATTAATGCAGACATTCCAACTACCATCCATGTCTCTGCTACTGCCTGCATATTATAAGCATAGTGCTTTTGGTTATTTTTTTCCTTTAAATTCTATCTAATGTAGGTTGAAGCAGTCATTCTCCTAAATTGTCATGGATTGCTACAAGCACTAGACTGAGATCTAATTACCTGGCAGATGCCCTTCATCCTAGCTCAGATCTTGGTTTCCATGCAGCAGTGGCAGGCTTCCATAGCTGTGAAGTCCCTTGGAGCACACCCTACTACTTTTCTAAAGTAGTGTTTAGTTAAGGGTATACTGCTTTCATTTCTGGGACAACCCAGCAGGGTTCTGTAGTCTTACCGAGTATAAAATAAGCTGTAGTTTTCATTTTCTCTACAAGCAAATAGCTACTAAACTAGTAACTTCTGCAAATACAGGCTTCAGATGTATTCACGTGGTGGAACACTGAAGCACTGGCAGCAAGCCTCTTCAGTGTTCACAGTATATTTCTGATTTTGGTTTCTGGTGCCTTTTATCTATGAATTAGTACTGTACTCCTCAGCAAGGCACATCTCGGGCCCCCAGAATATTTTTTTTGTGACTTTATAGACTGCAGATGCTCTGCTGTAACCTTTATATCTTCTTACTAAAAGCATACACCTCTGCCCCACTAAAGAGCGCAGTGCTCATTTCCATCCCGGTGGGATAGGGAGGTAGAGAACAGGCTTTTGATTTTGTTAGTGTAGGGCATATAGCATTTGACTGTTCATTATACTCAGACTTGAGGATACGTAGTGTGGGTTCTTCCCCCCATGCTAGTGTGTTACTGTATAGATGCCCCATCTGTCTCTATTTTGTATTTCACATACTTCATTTGTTTTTTGAGTGATTCTAAAAACTACTCTCCGGCTGTTCACAGTACTTGTTTGTTCTCCAAAAATCTTGAGTGCAATTTATAATACCAGAAAGTGACAAGCAGGGGAGCACTTTATAAATAATAAAAAAAACCAAACCCAAACGCACTTAGTCTGTAACAAATTATTATGCTCATCAGCCACCCATGTGCTTGTACAAGCCTTAATTTGCTTCATACCCTGTGTATCATCAATTAAGCCATATTTCAGTTCATTTCTTTCCAGTGCTTTGTCCTCTAATATTACATAACTTAAATTGCTCTCTGTAGGTCACACTGATGTCTCAGTGGGTGATATTGTCTCTTATTCAGATAGTTTCTACTGCCTCTTGAAAGATGGTCATGTTCTGTTGCTTCTTGAATTTTCTTATTCATAAGACAGTGTAATCGAAACCTTGAGCAACAAGCAGTGCCTGGATACTGGAGAAAAGTTTGCTGCCTTCTTTTCTAAACTGAAGTTCTTCGTTTGGGAGAAACCAGTGCTGTTGGACTTGAAAATCTCTGCTGTACGGAGACCTACAGCTGCGGGTTTTTTTCAGTCGCTGTTCTCCTAAGAGCTGACTTTTATGCATTAATATATTGGTACATTATAATTATAAGATATTGAACATTCAGACTGGCAAGTTATCTGTTGCCAAGGTAAGATGCTGTTTCTGGCCAGCTGTCTGCTCTCACTGCAGGGCATGCAGCACATGAAGGAATGAGATGGGCTCTTCCCAGCAGCAGTAGATTGCCTGTCACTCCTCCTGATGCTGCTTCTGTCCCACAGCTTGACTTGACATCACAACTGGAAAGCTGGTTTTGGCTGGAGGCTGCTGAGAGTAGCTTTGAACTAGTTTTGGGTTTGCTGAAGTGTTTAAGGTTTGGAATATTGGCAGTGAGGTTGTGCACATCCACTCTTGTGGGCTTGTTTCTTGTTTGTTGGCGTTTTGAGGGTGTTGTATAGCAAACAATGAAGAACAAAGGGAAGCTTTGTGGTATTCACAAGGAGTTTGCCTTGTAAATTTCTATCTGGCAGCTAGGTAGAAAAAATAATTAACAGTAATTAATTTTAGGATAACTATTCTGGGCTTATTTGATATAGCAGCTTTCAGCCTGATGCATACAGATCACATATTTATTTACTAGATTTTTTGTTGTCCCACTGCCAGGCTGTTGTGAAGCTTTGCAAACAGTGCTTTATACACAAATCCTTCAAAAGAACGTTTTCTTTAGGTGTCTGAAAAATTATTAGAAGTTTAAGTTTTTATTTCCTCTTTATTTACTTTGCTTCTTTAAAGTTGATATGATGGACATCTAATAGTTGGAGAGAAACTAGTTAGCAGTTAGGATTAGGACTCTGTCTGGTAGACTGCTCCTCTGTCCCTGCTATGCTCACTTGGAAACCAGCTCTGAAAGGAGTTATATTTTGAGTTCAGATTATTTTTTTAAAAAGGATTGGTGCTTCATGTAGGTTTTTAATTAAAAACTGGTTTTGTTTTAAATCTGGGCTTCCCTCATGTGGTAGGAAGTTCATACATAGAAGGATCTAATTATCAAAGAGAAGCAACTTATTTTTTTGAGTTATTGGTGTATATTACCAGAGCACTTGCACCCTTACTTAGGGGTCAAGACAGAGTGTTAAGTGGTGCTCTGAAAAAAGACCAATTTTTTTGCCTGAAGGAATTAAACAGTGTTGACTGACTTGCTTATAAACTGAAGTGAATGTTGCTGTAACAGCTGGCTCTAAAAACATGTTATAAAACTGTTACTAGCTCAGTACATTTCTTGTATTTTCTAAAAGCAACAGCTGCTTATTTACTACCCAATTATATTCAAAAGTTGAACTCAATGAGTTTCTTTACTCATGGTTGAATTAACTCATTGCTAAGACTGTTAACCGTGCTTTTCCTTTCCTTGATATGATGTAATTGCTGTTAGAAGGTCATGCAAAAAGAAATTTAAAATGTACCAGTTAAAGTACTTAAACCTGGTTGTCCCCATTCCCTCTACTATGCAATCAGAAAGCCTGTAAACACAAGCTGTTGGTATCTTAGTACAATTGCAACAGTTCTCTAGAATTGTTCGCTCCTTTTTTTAATGGTTACTGGCTTTTTAAGACCTTCAACTGTCATAACTCTGGTTTATAAGTATATGTATTTCAAAAGCACCAACGAGCCAAATTCTCCTTGAGCAACATGCTAGTGTATAGCAGTTACTGAGTGAGTAGAAAGAGTTTGACATATAAAATGATTTTGCCATCTACCCTTCCTCAGAGGAAGTTGTTTTTCAGAGTATCTGTGACACTGGCTTTAGCTTTTGAAGCAGTGAGAGTGCAGACACTGTCAGAGCAGGTACAGTTCTCTTTATCAGTTAGTTTTACTCAAGTTAGGTGTATGGGAAGGTTTTGTCTTTGCTTGACCTGCTTTTTTTGTCTCAAGAATGAAAAGGGTGTTTCCCACACACACCCTGCTATAAGTCAAAGTTTGTGTTTTGGTGTCTACGTCTTAATGAAACAATTTCACAAGAGCAAGCGTTTAGAAATGCGTAGTGTGAAGTGTGTTCATTTCAGTCTGGATTTTAGCTGTATAATGTGTTTTTAAGCTGACATGTTTTTCAAAAAACTGGAGGGATGTAAATGCTCAAATCCTGTTGGAATTCGGTATTCCATCCTTTCTCCTGTAGATCTGTGTACGTACTTAGTACAGAGCATTTCAGTAAGAGTTGGGGATCTCGAGGGACTGTGTTTGAGTACGTGTGATCTGCCCGTGCAAAGGCTGTCAGAGAATTGCATCCTTCCTGCCCGGTCAGGGCAGATGCATCGTACAATAGTCCATGTGTGCTATCCTGTTCCTCACATTCCTTTCAGCCTGTTCTGATGACTTAGAGCTATGCTATCTGCTTAGGGTTTCTTTCCTGAGTTACCCCCTCCTAAGTTGAATATTTGCAGTTGGACTCATTGATCTTAAAGGTCTCTTCCAACCAGAACAAGTCTATGACTAAGTAACTCCTTGTTTGAAAGGTGGGCTGGGAGAAAGCTCAGGGAAGCAAAAGGGAATGCAGGCAGTAAATCGGAACAATGTAGATACTGGATAGGATGCAGTGAGATGATGTTTTTCCTGGCTCTGAAGGAAATGAAGAATGGCATCCATTATGCTCTGACTGTCTCCTGTACTGGAACATTCAAAATCATTGCTGCATTTTGGGTACCGTTAGGCAAGTTGAAATGGATCACACCAAAATAATCTGTGGAGCAGAGTTACATGTAGTCTTAGAATGCTTTATATGGATGGCACAGGAACATGCATATCTTTTCATTTAAAGTGACTTTTCTTTTAGAAAGTCACATGTCTAATACTAAGTGAAGAGAGATCTTTTGGAAGAATAGGTAAAAAATGCTTTCTGATGATATTTTTGTTGGTTTTATCTTATAGCAGGCCATGTATATCAAAGGAAGAAAGGGCTGGAAGGTCCCACCCAGAAAGCTCTTCAGGAAGCCAGGCAGCAAAAACACCTTGATGCTGAAAGCTCTTTATGTGATCCATTCAGAGATGCAGGGAAGAAGATAGGCAGGAGAGATCCAAAGGTATGGAGCTTTTGTTGCGGTTGCTGGGTATCTAATCCAGAGTACGTTTTAAAGGTTTACGAAGCTGTGGTGAAAAACACAGGCTTAGTAACAGTAAATAGGACAGGTAAGTAACAGGTTTTTTATTTTAAATGAGTTTCTACTGCAACTAACCTTTCAGGGAATAATAGGAACTTTTGATAAGTTGAAGTTAGCAAGCTGCTTCTCTCGACTGGCTTCTGGCGGGGGAAGAGTGCTGGCTGTAAATGCTTCTTTTTATGTTTGTAACTGGAGAAATCCTGACCTATTCTGCAGCGCTTTTCAAGCGTTTCAACCTCTTTCAGCTGGGTCTAAAAGGTATAACATCTGAGAGACTAAGGGCAAAAAAAATTGACGATTTCTTTAATAGTCAAAGATTCTAAACCTGAGCATACCAGAGGCGTGTTACTGTTTCAGTGTGGAAGCTGTGCAAAATCAATTCTTGATTTAATTTTTATTGTTGAAAGGAATTTGTTTTCTTCTACTTTGTTTTACTTATTGTGTGTGTTTTCTTTTCTTTTTTGACTATATAATACTGCTTGTTATTCTTCCAGATCAAGGTAAACATTCTAATACGTAAAATTTCTTAAGCTCTTAACAGTTACCTGGCCTGGTTTGTTTGAGAGCCACAGTTAATGTTGAAACTGTGTGTTTTGTAAAGGAAAAAAAAGCTCTAGTTTACACTGATATAGTCTGAATTAGCTTCAGTCTGTCTTTTCCCTGTCTGCACACGAATGTGTCCCTGGTGATTTATTTTTTTGTATGTTTTTCTGTTTTTGCAAAGGCATTTCTCTGTGTGTGCTGGCAGTGCACCTCTCCTGACAAACACAACATTTGATTTCTGGTTTCATCCTTTCTCATTCTGAACCCCTAAATAAATTTCTGTTGCTTTCTGAAATATTTCTCACCACATATTAGAAATAATTCTGTACTGTCTCCCCACCTATTAGCATCTGAGTCTTACTGAGGCACCTCCCAGTCAGTCCATCTCCACTTTTCCTGTCCATCATGCAGTGGTTAGAAACTTCTGTTCGGCTCTTACAGTTATCTCTTCTCTTCATTTTGACTTGTGAATGTATCAGTATTTCTTGGCTTATGAAATCTTATTTTCTGCTCCTGTTTCTACTTTAGTCATCAGGATTTTTATAGTAAACTTCAGCATAGTTATGTTTCAGCCCCAGAATATATAAACTCTATACAGGTAGTATGCCTGTCTGGCTCACTCTTGTTCTTTGAAATTCATGAGCACTGTTAGTTGACTGGTTCTGGCAAGCATCTGTGTTTCTGCAGATCTTATGTTTCCCAAATGAGTCCTACCAGATGTCTTTATTTAATCAATGGTTTAGAAAACTGGAGCAGCTCCAGAAATAGTGGGCATTTTTGAATGTACTAGATTTTACCGTGGCTAAGCAATAACCTGAAACTTTAGTTGTGAGACTATCATCTTTTCAAACAATGGAACAGTACCTTTTTCACTTCAAATTTCCTGGTTCTATTATTTATAAATAATTCCTTTCCCCTAACAAAGGTTACTATCTTGGATATAGTGGTGAATTGTCCAATTTCTTAGACTGTTAGAAATAAATGGCGGAGGTCTGTAGAGGGTGAAGAGGTGAGTTAAAATTGTGTTTAAAACAAAGGCAGTCTTAGAACTCTGTCCTGTGCTGCACGTTTATTGAATGAAAGTTCTAATCAAAGTTATTTTTTTTCAAATAGTGTGTTTTTATTCAGCAGTTTAGTAGTCTGAGTATTTGTTCTGGCCGAAAGGATTAGGCAGAAATGAGTGCCTTCCTTAGATCATTTTATGTTGGGAATCAAACTTGTGTGATGCCTCATCTACTCTGACCTATATCAAAAAGGTGTTTTACGTTCTGCTGTGTCTCATGTGACTTAAATTCTTTCCTACAATGATTCAACATGATGGTCTTCATTGAAGAGTGGACCATAAGCAATAATCTTGTCATTTACAAGAAATGAACAACGCTTTACATATATTGGTTGGTGGTAAAAGTGACTGATGTGGATTAAGATTAAGATAACACTTCATTTAAATTCTCTTTGTACCACAAAGGAGGTAAGAGTCAGAGCATAAATTGGTTATGTTGTTCCATGGAGTTCTGGTGAGAAACTTCGGTATAAGAAATAAAAGCAATAAAAAGTTCCTGTATTCTAACAGTGCATTTTTGACAAAATAGAGAAAAAGAAACCAGATATGTGATATCTAGGTAAAATTCACTGTCCAATATTGCTTAGCTCTCCTCAGTAAGTGTAAGTGAACATTTAAAGCTTACAGAAGTTCAGAGTGAACAACTCATTCAATTTTGAAATTTAGGCATTTGGTTTATTTCATGTTAATTGAAAAGCAAATATACTGTCATGAAACTGTATCCTTGAGACAAAATTAAAATGTTTACATTAACTGTCCTGTTAGGTGTGAACTGTGGTGATGAAAATGATTTAAAATCTTTCCTGTGTCTTGTAGCTAAATAGTGACCTAACAAAAATGCCTGTGCTTACTTTTAATTGGATGCAAATATGACTCATAGCTGAGCTAGAACATTTACTTCAAGGACAGACGTATTGAGTTATTGTAATATCCTGTAAAAGCTGACACAATTTAAAACCTAAGGTCCCTTAGCTATGACGTTTATCACTGAGACAGTGAAAAGGCACTGGAGTTTTTGTGAGATTTTTTATTATTATCTTGATTTAAAAATCTTTGTTACAAGACTCAGTTACACTATACAGTAACAGGCAATTAGGCTAAACTGTTTACATATCTAGCCCTTAATAAGCCAGTATCAATAGCATAAATAGGTTAAGTATGTGCTAGAGTACTGCTTTAAATATTTAAATTAATTAAAATGCACTCACAGGTCATTAAGATTGTAGAGAACCTTTGATAATGTGATTTTCATTATCCTGTTGAAATATACTTTTCCTATTGTTATATTTTTGTTCTTAGGTTTTTCATTCTATGTTGGATTGCTTTTACTTGTTATTAGCAGGGCTATTGCAACTCCATGTGCAGTAAATTTTATTTCCACATATAATGTGTCACAATGCAATTTCATTTTCTGAAGTTTTTATTTGGTTTAAAACTTTATCAGAAGGTGTGCTGGACATTTCTGGAGGTGATGCGTTACTGGTTTCTGTGGAACAGACTTTGAATTTGTGGCCAATGGTATATTAACATACAGAATTAAAATCCAATGATCATACAATTGTAATAGCTTTTGTAAGTAATAGGACATAAGGTTGAAATAGCACATGAGTACAGATATAAAACCCAACTTTCTCTTCAGTTCTATGGAAGGAGGCATACCCAAGGGAAACTGAACCAAAATGATTACTTAATCACATTGTTGAGCTTGAATATAAATGAGCACAAGCATATTGGGTCAGAATTGGAAAGAGGAGGTCCCAAAATAGTTAGGAAGGGTCATAAATGAAATAAGCAACCATTCTGTGTTTGTAGTAAGGTTACGAAGAAAGCGCTGATTAGATACTTAGTAGAGAGAAGACTGACAGATAATACTGGGAATACTTATTTCTACAGCCCCTTACTGGCATAATAAAACTCTAGACAGGGAGCTGAGAAAATTAATACCAGTTACCAAGATACAAGACTGCAGTCTAGAGAATGGAAAAGAGAATGATGTCTGTATTTCAAATGAAATAAAAAGTAAGAGCTAAGAAATTGCAGATTAGACAGCCTAATTTTAAATTCCCAAAGAAATTTGTAATGTATAAATGACATGTTACTGAACATCTGGAAGAAACTAGGTAAAGAAGTAACAGTGAAAATTAATTTGCAAGGAAAAAATGTATTAATCCTGTATAAATTGCATCTGTACCAGGATAAGAGATCTCCTGGATAGAAGAGGAGCAGAAAGATTGTAACTATCTTATTCTTAAGATATAAGGGCCCTTATGTTTTTCATAAGGCTTTGGGTGCTGTGTCTCAGATCATTCCTATTAGCAGCTGTGGAAATCGGGCCTGATGGAAATATTCCTAAATTAATGGAAAACAGATTGGAAATTTGCAGATCGATTGAATCGGCTTTTGCCAGGCTATGTTGTCATTAATGATCTAGAAAATGAAACTGGAAATATGCTGACTAAACTCGCAACCCAAGTGAACTGGGTTTGGTGGGGATGGAACTGCAAGCGCAGCTGAGTACAGGTCTAAACCTGACCTATTGGAGAATTGATCTAAAGAAATAACATGCAATGCAAGCAAAGGTACAAACCTCCACCTTTAAAAAGAAGTTACCACATGTACAACTGCAGAACAAGAATGGTTGGTCAAATAGCTCTTATTTGGAATCGGCTTTAGGGTTTGTTGTGTGAAAACAAGCTTAGCGTGAATCAACAATGACATGACATTGCGAAGTGGCTGAACACAATACCGCAGCGTAAACCAGGAATATGGTGTGGAGGATGTGGAATATTCCTCTTGCTCTGTTCAGCTGGCACGTAGCTTTGACTGCAGTGTTGTGGTCAGGTGGATTGCAGCTCTTCAGGACACAAGTGGACCATCTACACTAGAGCAATAAGAATGATTAGAAATCTGAAACATAACTGTCAAAGAAAAGGTGAAAGAAGTGAAATTGTGGAGTCTACAAAAGAGAACACTAAGGGGAGACAGGTTACATCCTTAAAATCGAAGAGGATTCAGTAAAAAAAAAGGCAACCTCCAAACAACCACCACCATAAAACAACCTGTTAGAACAAGAAGTAAAAGTAGACATCCAATAAGAAAGGTTAAGGTTACATAATAAACAAAATCTACGGTAGTAAATATAGTGAAGCACCAGAATAGATTATTTAGGGAGTTTGGCTGGCTGGAATACGGTAGGCAGATTTTTTTCTCAGGAGTAACATATCCACTTGGGAAAGGGGATGTACTGATTGATCATCAGATGATTTGTCTACCTGTCATTGTTAGTGGATTTCCCCAAGAAATTGTACTTAAGGAG